AACACATCTTATTCTTTTTACCCATTAGTTTTAAGCTTTAGTCATTAATGTTTTTCCTGCCCGAAACGCTTTGCGTAATAGTGGCTTTAGGCATTGTATGTACTAGCTCTATCTATAAAGCCAACAAACTTTGTAAAATCTCTTTATGTATGTACCTTACCTAAATAAAAATTATTATTATTATTATTATTATAATTATGGTATCTGTGCATGGGGGTCTACCACTGCAATCTACCACTGCACTGCAATGAGCAACGTCATACGTAATAAACATTGGGAAGAGTTCCTACAAAGTATAAATGAGCAAACAACACTTGTTGAAGTTTGGGAAAAGATACGGAAAATCTCTAGAAGCAGCCCAACCAAACCGCTGCACCACAGCCTACTAGAACAAGCAAACATCCTCCTTGATCAATGGGCACTAACATCAAGCTACACCTCACTCCCAATTAACATACAGCACAAACTTGATGACACACGCCCCAACAGACAACGAACCATCAATCTTGCCTGTACAGCTATCGACGTGTCGGACCTTAATGATGTAACTGAATGGGAATTAAATCATGCACTAAAGATGGGAAAATCAACTGCTCCTGGAGAGGATGGTATTACTTACAGTCTACTGAGATTAGTCTCACACGTACCAGGTAATCCACTATTAGTGTTGTACAGAATGAGTTTACGTGAAGGAGTATTACCTGATGCTTGGACAAAGAGTGTCATTGTTCCTATCCCCAAACCACACTCAGATAATTATAGACCCATATCTTTAACATCGTGTGTTTGTAAAGTGCTTGAACGTATTGTTCTTAACCGACTCATGTATCGTATACAGGGGCACCTGTCACCCCAACTGTTTGGATTTATGCCTGGGCTCAGTACACAACACTGTTTTGCTGAGTACTTCGCACATATTGAAGCTTCCCCCCAAACAGTCTTCATCGACCTAGCAGCAGCTTTTGATACAGCAAACAGAGGAATCATACTGGAACAGCTTGCCGAGCTGGGAATACAAGGAAAATTACTGAAATGGATAAAGGGCTATTTGTCTAATCGAACAGCATATGTTTTGTTTAATGGTGTTAAAAGCACAGAGAGCAAACACTTTGAACTGGGAACTCCACAAGGAGGGGTCCTCAGTCCCTTATTGTTCAACGTTCTGATGCATAAACTTATTAAAGATCTTCCAACTAATAATGAAGACACTGTCATTTGTTATGCTGATGATATATGTTTACAGGCTGCCACCGAGCCTAGAATGCAAGTTCTGCTCGACGCTTTTGCTACTAGAGCTGAGGAATGTGGCCTCCTTATCTCTGTACAGAAAACTCGTGCCCTCATTCCATGTGGTATTCCACCACCCAATTATCATATAGATGGGCGAGCACTTGAGAACTGCGAGTCTTACAGATACCTTGGTGTCCCCATTAACGACCCTGGGTACCTTTCTTCTCTCAAGAGGAGACTTTGGGAGAGATTAAAGCCCTTGCGGGTCCTTGTTGGTGTCAATCATGGGCTTAACGTGAGACTTGCTAGAATGTTTTATGTATCATTTATACGCTCTGTGATTGACTACAATGCTCTACATCTCACACTGTATACTGACAAAGAGCTGAAATCTCTTGAAACCTTGCAAAATGAAGCTATGCGTCTCATCCTTGGGGCTCCAAAGTCCACGAGAATAGTTAACATGAGAGCAGAGTTAAAATTACCTACCATAAGTGAGAGAATCTTGTCTATTAGCACAGTTTTCGGCGTGAAGGCATTGAGTAGATCTAGACAACACATGAAGTTTCAAGCTAAACTTTCTAATATGCTACACTCACCTGAGGTCTATAGAAGAAGAACGAAATCTGATTATGTATATTGGTTCTACAAGGTAGCCAACTCCATCAAAATATTAAATATGTACCCAACTCGACTAATGATTAATCAGCCAATTACTCCATGGGATAACTGGGATCTATCAGTTGATTTTGTAAATGCGCCCAAGAAAGATAGTGTGCACACTACGTTGTTAAAACAGTTAACACTGAAAAGCATCACTGAAAGTACTCAGAGTATGGGTAACGATGTTTATCAGTGCTATACCGACGGCTCTGTAGAAGAAGGTGGACGATGTACCGGATGTGCATGTAACATATTTGAACAATCTTCTCTCGTACATACAGCAATGAAGCGCGTCAATGACTGGGCAAGTACAACTCAAACCGAACTTGCAGGCATATACCTTGCCACTGAATTTTTAAAAGACAAAGGCAGTGGACTTATATACTGTGACTCGCAGAGTGCACTCCTGGCATTGAACGCACATAGTAGTGACACCCAGAAAATAGTCAGTGATATTCGAATGAATGTTTTAGCTGCCAAAGAAAACAGATTTGAGATTAAATTCCTATGGATACCATCACATGTTGGCATCTCAAGGCATGACACTGTTGATATGCTTGCTAAGTCAGCTTGCAGAAAACCAGTGGTAGAAACTGATATGGGTGTTTCATTAGCAGTGACAAAGAGAATACTTAAACAAATATCTAATGAAAATCTCACCGACCTAACAAATTCTCAAAGACCTGAAAGTTGTAGCATTAAATATTATGATAGATATCGTGAGGAGACATTCACATATGGGACTAATAGAACAAGAACCCGGCAATGTGATGTTATAGTGGCCAGAATACGCCTGGGATATAGACGTATCTGGCAGCTTTCTCAAAACCCAAATGTCGAGTACACAATGTGTCAACTTTGTGAAAGAGAAAACATGCACTCTCTTGAACATTATATTGTAGAATGTCCCATACTGACTGACTTTCGCCCTCCTGGGCTAAGGTATGCTGAACTCTGTAGTTACTATATGAGTACTGGAACACTTGATGATATATTGGACTTGTATCCAAAATTGACCATGTAATGTATCAATCATACAATGTATGTATGTGATGTAACTATATAACCTGAGCTTGTAAAAGCACCTTCATCACCTTCAGTGATTAAGTGCTTAATTGCACACTAGTTTCTTTATCAGCTACCTCACCCTGTCAGGGTAAATGAGACAAATGTATGTGAATGCATGTATGTGTGTATATATGTATGTGTATGTGTGTGTGTGTATGTATATGTATGGGTATAAAGCAAATATGGAAGCTGATCAGAATTACATTTCACCTTTGTGAATGTACATTAATGACACTATGTAAAAGACACATCTAATACTTTATGTAGGGCATACGTAAATCTGTGTATCTTTGTATTTACGTATGTAGGTTAGCTTAGCATTTTAAAAGCACCGAATCACCTTCTGTGGTTGAGTGTTCAATAAACCCTTGAACTGTATGTTTAACACTTCTCTAACCCTGTCCATGGAGGACAGAAGAAAATGTATATATGCTGGTTAGCATTGTAAATGTGTGGCCACGTCTGTGGTAGAAAATAATAAAAAAAAAAAAAAAAAAAAAAAAAAAAAACTGCAAACCACCTTAAGCCCATCATCACGTAGCAAAAATCTGCTATCAGACTAATAACAAACTGTTTTCAGACAACACTCAGCTCCCTTGTTTAAATCCCTTAACTTGCTAAATATTAAGTCACTCCACACATTCTCTTGCGTCAACTACATTTACAAAACCCTGTTCTTAAATGCAAACCATGCTCTGAAACTCTCCCTGGACAGATGTAATAGGACCCATTATCACCACACCAGAAATAAATATCTCTTTGATATCCCCAGAGTCAAACTTAATCTGTGTAAACACTCTATGCAAATTAAGGGACCTAGTCTATGGAACTCACTCCCTAGTGAATTGAAAAGCTGTCAAACTTTTGCCTCATTTAAAAACAAACCCAAAAAGTACCTAATTTCATCTTCGTAGTTTCCTACACTGAGCTTTAAATTTGCTCTGTATCTAGTGTTACCCAATCTCCCGATCTTTGTTACAAAAGTAAAGGGTTGGCCCCAAGATGGAACCTTGCGGCACTCCACTCACCACATTTTTCAAGTCGGTTTAAATTCTATTTAAGATGACCTTTTGCTTTCTTCGTATTAACCATTGCTTTATCCATTCTAGTATTTTACCTTTTATTCCATGCGTTTGTAATTTCCTTGTTAGTCTTTCATATGGTACCATATCAAAATATTTAGGGGAAAATCCATGAAATTACATCTAGCGGAAGTCCTTTAACTGAATAGCTGGTTACCGTTTACAAAAATCCGAGCATAGGATTTATAGTTAGGAAAACAATGTTGCATTAATTGTACTAGATTGTGCATTAAGATGGTGAGAATGATTCCCTCCCCTAGGATGCTCTCCCCGAGCTTGCAGTTGAGCTTAGACTGAGGGGGATGGTAGTTTTCTGCGAACACAAGACGCAACATTCTCCCCTACCCATATGGTAAAGCGTATTTACATATATATATTTTTTGATACAAGGTTAAAGTATTTCAAGTATGGGACGATGGCGTCGCCACACGGCATGCTGTAAAGGGAGTCCCTATCACGAGTCCCTGTGACGTGTCCCTGTGACGAGTCCCTGTGACGAGTCCCTGTGACGTGTCCCTGTGACGAGTCCATAATCTATGACAGCGAACTCCGCAAGGCGCGGCTGCCGGCAAAATCCGTCTGGTGAGGCCAGTGAGGCGCCCAGACAGAACAGTGTTGCTCCCGCCTGGCCTGTGGTGGTACTGTGTTCATATAGATGCTGTGGTCTTACGGCCCTATTTAAACCCCTCAGTCGCTGAACCCCTGCAGCACCTGCTTCCTCATGGGTCCTTATACAGCCTTTCTGCGACGAAATCTGCAGTTTTCGTCTTTTTGTTTGGCCAACAAAATGTTTATAACATTGTATATATAACACTCGTCAAGAACAGGTGCTAGAGAACGTTTGGTTACGGAAAAGGTGCTCGCTGGCATGTGGTTAGCGCCAGGACAGGTGTTTGCCAGCGTGTGCTTAGCGCCAGGACAAGTGTTTGCCAGCGTGTGGTTACAGAAACAACAGGTGGGCCACAATGGGCAGACATCTCAGTGCAGCAACGGCTACCCGTGAGTGAGGAACAGCTCCGGCAGCGAGAACAAGTAGCAAGAAGTAGCGAGAACAAGTAGCAAGAAGTAGCGAGAAGTAGCAGGAAGTAGCGAGAAGTAGCAGGAAGTAGCGAGAAAAAGTAGCAGGAAGTATATGGACATATACTTGTCAAGCTCACCACATACAAAATCCTTCAACACTTACATGAAACAATCAAAGCCCCGCAACACCAACCAGCTCAGAGCCATATCTATGTAACACAACAACTCCGGTGTTGAGCTTCTGCCTTGTGTTGCAAGTCTTAGTGAAGGGAAAAGTGTTTCAACCTCTCTAGCCAGGCAGAATGAGGAGAGAGTCGCGCCTGTCGCTGATGCCCTGAGGAACGACCCGACCCGAGGAACGACTTGACCCAAGGAACGACCCGACCCGAGGAACGACTTGACCCAAGGATCGACCTGACCCAAGGAACGACCTGACCCGAGGAAGTCGTTAAGATTCTGGAGCAAGGACAAGGAGCGGTCAGGGACTGAATTAATACGACAGAAACACGGCCGTCAGCGGAGGCAATGATTGGTGTACTAGGTGAGTACTGTGTTGGTTGACTGCCCCCCGTGTGTGGTGGTGGTGGTGGTTGTACACCAGATGTGCCGAGTACGTAAGACTGCCCCCCGTGTGTGGTGGTGGTGGTGGTTGTACACCAGATGTGCCGAGTACGTAAGACTGCCCCCCGTGTGGTGGTGGTGGTGGTGGTTGTACACCAGATGTGCCGAGTACGTAAGACTGCCCCCCGTGTGTGGTGGTGGTGGTGGTTGTACACCAGATGTGCCGAGTACGTAAGACTGCCCCCCGTGTGTGGTGGTGGTGGTGGTTGTACACCAGATGTGCCGAGTACGTAAGACTGCCCCCCGTGTGTGGTGGTGGTGGTGGTTGTACACCAGATGTGCCGAGTACGTAATAAAACGGATCCACAAAACAGTATGAAAACAAACGAAAACTCCCTGAAATATATAAAAAAAACGAACCTGGAGTCGACATGACCCCGACACAGACCCGGGGTCAAGTCTGAGGTCATATCAGGGGTCACAGAACACACACAAACCGGGCCAGGCTATAGAAGGAGCAGAAGTCAGTACCATAGCCACCACATTGAAGATATATAGAGACCAGAGGAAACAATTAACCATAAATATAATTCTCAAGTTACGAATTAAGAATTAAAGCTAATTCACTGCAAAATTTAAGCAAATTGGTGAATAACTAGCAAAATATTGGACAGGTAGGTCTTGGGAGCTAGGGCTCGACCCTGCAAGTACATTGAGGTGAATACATTAGGGTTATATAGCTTGTCCTCTTTCCTGATGATTTGCCACAACAAACAAAAGAAGGGGTGCTAAAACACGCGAGTCTACCCTACCTACTTAACCGGTTCAAGCAAAGAAAACGTGTTTGCGAGTCGCTATAAAATTCAAATTCAAAATTCAGGAAAAGTACATACATAGTTGATTTACAAACATAAAATTGGATTTATGGATAGAGCTTGTACATACAATACCTAAAGCCACCAATGCGCACAGCGTTTCGGGCAAGGTGAGGGGAAAAAAAACATTTAGATTAGAGCTTAATACTAATTGAGGTTAAAGTATAAATTGTTATGAAAATGAAAAAAAAACGCGGGGTGGAAAACATGGCAGAAATCAGCAATTATACAATTTGGTTAGCAAACAGTATTGTTTGAAAATAGTAAGACATGGGTTGACATTTAAGAGGGTAAGGTAGGTTACATGGAGTTAATTAGGTAGTACTTAGTTCTACTCTTAAACTGGTTGAGAGGTACAGCCTTTGACATGATTGGGAAGGTCATTCCACATTCTGGGTCCCTTGATTTGTTGAGCATTTCTAGTTTGGTTAAGGCGCCCTCTTGGAATATCAAATAGATATTTGAATTTTTAAATTTTAAATTTTGCTCCGAGGGGCGAGTTTATTAGGCAGCGCCACTCATGTTGTGAGTGGACACACCGCCATAGCAGCATGTACAACACTCCCCAATAGGAAGAAAACCCGCTGGGTTGTTCATCCTGTCACTTGTACCCAGACACAGCTGGGACTTGCTTAACTGTCTCAAGTGAACAGCTCCTCAAACAAGAAGATTAACAGGTATTTGTTTCTGGTGTGGTGCTCATGGGTTCTGTTACAACCTTCTAGGAAGCTTTTAAGGTCAGAATTGACATCACAATTCAGAGTTTTAAATATATAGAGTACATATGAGAGGATGTGCAGTGACTTAATATCTATAAGCAGGCGATGAGTCACAATAACGTGGCTGAAGTATGTTGACTAGACCACACACTAGAAAGTGAAGGGACGACGACGTTTCGGTCCGTCCTGGACCATTCTCCACAATCGACCACAATCGACTTGAGAATGGTCCAGGACGGACCGAAACGTCGTCGTCCCTTCACTTTCTAGTGTGTGGTCTGGTCAACTTAATATCTAACATATTCAAAGATTTAAGTAAGGGTACCGAGTGCTGTCTGGGGCCAGAGTTAGATATTGTACTAATAGCAACTTTATGTTGGGTAATTAAAGGATGTAGATAATTTTGGGTAGTAGAACCCCAAGCACACGTACCATAATTGAGATCAGGGTAGATGACAGAGTAACCCTACTTTTCATAGTGCCCTTTATTTTGGCCGTTAGGGTTTTATAACGTCACTATATGATGCAGCATTTGAGAGGACAGGTTGCCTACTCATCCTCCATGTATAGAATGATAGGTTCGGTGTACAGTCTACCTGAACACAATGGCAGACGTAGAGAATCTCTGCTCACATGTGTTGTGTGGTAATTATATGAGCTTGGTACAGGATACAACCTTTCCAAACTCTCACGTTCACTACACACCTGTACACGGCCTCTCCACCCCTCACTACACACCTGTACACGGCCTGTCCACCCCTCACTACACACGGCCTCTCCACCCCTCACTCCACACCTGTACACGGCCTCACCACCCCTCACTGCACACGCCCTGTCTACCTGTCACCTACACACGTATACGTCCTCTCCACTACCCTCCTCACTGCACACCTGATCTACCCCCTCCCCCCTCACTACACACCTGTACACATGATCTATCCCCTCCCCCCCCCTCACTACACACCTGTACACAGGTAAACACAACATCACCACAATCGTTGCTATTGGCAACTGTCACCTATAAAATCATTTTACTATGAATGCTGTTGTTCTAAGTAACTAAAATAGTTTACTGATATTTGGTTTACTGTGTCCAACATGTTGTTTATAACTCTGGACAGGGTGGTTATAACTAGTCCTCCTAATAGAACGTCGCATTTTGACGTATGGGTTACCTAAGGGCAAAAAAAATCGTCGTACCAGAAAATGGAAGCGGCTCGCGAAATTAACGTACTGTGTCTTGTTTTCCTGTTTTGGGTTCTCTGGCAGGTTAGGATAAGGGGAAGCACTTTAGTATGAAAGTTGCTTGACGTTGGGAAATTTTAGGATTTGGAAAAAGCTGGTGAAATTGACGTAGTCTCGTTTTCTGTTTTGGGTCCTCTGGCAGGTTAGGATAAGGGAAGCACTTTAGTATGAAAGTTGCTTGTCGTTGGGAAATTTTAGGATTTGGAAAAAGCTGGTGAAATTGACGTAGTCTCGTTTTCTGTTTTGGGTCCTCTGGTAGGTTTAAGGGGGCAGTTTACTACGACAGTTTCTTGTCGTTGGGAAATATTAGGACAGGCTGGGTTCATACCATAGTAACAGAAGAAACTCCCAGAGGTCTACTGGCTAAAAGCGAGGCTACAAGTGTTGAGTATAATTTGTCTAGTGCCCTAGGCTGTAATTGAAACCATTCCACATCTATTATTTTACCCGACAGCCGGCTCCATATATCAACAACCCTATTTAAAAAAATAAATATTTACTCTGGTGTGTGTGTGTGTGTTTGTTCTGATGTTAAACTTGCAACAAATACAAACATTCCGTGTTCTACTTTGTTTACAATATTTTTTGTTGTGCTATTTTAATCATTTATATTTCAGTCATTCTTCGCCTTCGAAAACGTAAATTAGTCTTTTTTTCAGACTTTATTTATGTTTGGTGTTTTTAATACATATGATTATTGTCGTCAGCCTTTTCTTAAGGCTTTCTAGAAAATTTCAATATATTCTATAGTACGGAGACCACCACTAAGCTGATATACACTACAAGGGCCTAGCAGGGGATATATACACTACACAGGGCCTAGCAGGGGATATATACACTACACGGGGCCTAGCAGGGGATATACACACTACACGGGGCCTAGCAGGGGATATACACACTACACAGGGCCTAGCAGGGGATATATACACTACACGGGGCCTAGCAGGGGATATACACACTACACGGGGCCTAGCAGGGGATATACACACTACACGGGGCCTAGCAGGGGATATACACACTACACGGGGCCTAGCAGGGGATATATACACTACACGGGGCCTAGCAGGGGATATACACACTACACGGGGCCTAGCAGGGGATATACACACTACACGGGGCCTAGCAGGGGATATACACACTACACGGGGCCTAGCAGGGGATATATACACTACACGGGGCCTAGCAGGGGATATATACAATACACGGGGCCTAGCAGGGGATATACACACTACACGGGGCCTAGCAGGGGATATACACACTACACGGGGCCTAGCAGGGGATATACACACTACACGGGGCCTAGCAGGGGATATACACACTACACAGGGCCTAGCAGGGGATATACACACTACACAGGGCCTAGCAGGGGATATATACACTACACGGGGCCTAGCAGGGTATATATACACTACACGGGGCCTAGCAGGGGATATATACACACTACACGGGGCCTAGCAGGAGATATATACACACTACACGGGGCCTAGCAGGGGATATACACACTACACGGGGCCTAGCAGGGGATATACACACTACACGGGGCCTAGCAGGGGATATATACACACTACACGGGGCCTAGCAGGAGATATATACACACTACACGGGGCCTAGCAGGGGATATACACACTACACGGGGCCTAGCAGGGGATATACACACTACACGGGGCCTAGCAGGGGATATACACACTACACGGGGCCTAGCAGGGGATATACACACTACACAGGGCCTAGCAGGGGATATATACACTACACGGGGCCTAGCAGGGTATATATACACTACACGGGGCCTAGCAGGGGATATATACACTACACGGGGCCTAGCAGGGATATATATACACACTACACGAGGCCTAGCAGGGGATATACACACTACACGGGGCCTAGCAGGGGATATACACACGCTACACGGGGCCTAGCAGGGGATATATACACGCTACACGGGGCCTAGCAGGGTATATACACACGCTACACGGGGCCTAGCAGGGGATATACACACGCTACACGGGGCCTAGCAGGGGATATATACACACTACACGGGGCCTAGCAGGGGATATACACACTACACGGGGCCTAGCAGGGGATATATACACGCTACACGGGGCCTAGCAGGGGATATATACACGCTACACGGGGCCTAGCAGGAGATATATACACGCTACACGGGGCCTAGCAGGGGATATACACACTACACGGGGCCTAGCAGGGGATATACACACTACACGGGGCCTAGCAGGGGATATACACACTACACCGGGGCCTAGCAGGGGATATACAAACTACACGGGGCCTAGCAGGGGATATACACACTACATGGGGCCTAGCAGGAGATATATACACACTACACAGGGCCTAGCAGGGGATATACACGCTACACGGGGCCTAGCAGGGGATATACACACTACACGGGGCCTAGCAGGGGATATATACACGCTACACGGGGCCTAGCAGGAGATATATACACGCTACACGGGGCCTAGCAGGGGATATACACACTACACGGGGCCTAGCAGGGGATATACACACTACACGGGGCCTAGCAGGGGATATATACACACTACACGGGGCCTAGCAGGGGATATATACACACTACACGGGGCCTAGCAGGGGATATATACACACTACACGGGGACTAGCAGGGGATATACACACTACACGGGGCCTAGCAGGGGATATACACACTACACAGGGCCTAGCAGGTGATATACACACTACACGGGGCCTAGCAGGGGATATACACACTACACAGGGCCTAGCAGGGGATATATACACACTACACAGTTTGCTCGTTGGCCCTTTGAGTCATTGGTTTTATGCCGAGGGTCAGAGACCGCATCGTAATAAATATATCAGCCTATCCTCCAAAAAATTAAAGAAATTTCACCTATTATAGATGAAATGTACAAAATATGCAATGCTGACGAGGAGTCACAATAACGTGGTTGAAATATGTTGACCAGACCACACACTACAAGGTGAAGGGACGACGACGTTTCGGTCCGTCCTGGACCATTCTTAAGTCGATTGTGGTCACAATTTGAGAATGGTCCAGGACGGACCGAAACTTCGTCGTCCCTTCACTTTCTAGTGTGTAGTCTGGTCAACATATACAATTCTGTAAACAAAAAGGATTAAAAAGGATACTGGAATTCTAAGTGACAAAGTGAAACAGTAATCATATACCTAACTTAAACCGTCCTAAGCCTTATATACTATATAAACCTAATATACTAATATTATATACAAAAGATGAATTTGGTTGTTGCTGTCACTTAATGGCCACACGACTAGTCTCATCCAACTCATTCTTGTCTCTTGTAAACAAAATATTGTTCCTTAGCTGTGGATAATTGAGAGAGAGAATTATCTACTTCCATAGATATCTTCCTTTACAGCTCTTAAGACTGGCCTCTGTTATACAGTGTATTACGGCTGTATGTATATCTTCAAGTCAATACTATTAATGTTTTATCAGGTGAATATTTAACTGGAATGAGGATGTAAACATTGAGGAAACATGCGCGCTTCTTGGTGTACGTGGAGGGGGGTTTCAAGAGTGCTACTCCCCGAGCCCGGCCTGAGGCCAAGGGTATGTTGTGTGTGTTTTGGTTCTGGATTATTTTGAGAAGTGAACATAATTACGGTTAGTAATCCTCATGAACATGTTGCAGCGTGGTTGGTGTGGAGTTGGGCGGGTGTCGCCAGGTGTGACCCAGAGCCCGGGCACTTGTACACATCGCTGGCTCTCATGGACGACCTCTTCGCCTTCGACAAGCTGGTGGGCGACCTCTTGCCGCTCTTGCCCGAGCATATTCCCGAGGCTTCAAGGTAGGTGGGGCTTGTCCGAGCACATCCCAGAGGCTTCAAGGTAGGTGGGGCTTGTCCTGCTTGTCCGAGCACATCCCAGAGGCTCCCAGTTAGGTGGGTCTTGTCCAAGCACATCCCCAGAGGCTTCAAGGTAGGTGGGGCTTGTCCTGCTTGTCCGAGCACATCCCAGAGGCTCCCAGTTAGGTGGGTCTTGTCCAAGCACATCCCCAGAGGCTTCAAGATAGGTGGGGCTTGTCCTGCTTGTCCAAGCACATCCCACACGCTTCTTGGTAGGTGGGTCTTGTCCGAGATTGGTTCCTTTCCTTTTTCATTACCACCAAGGAGGGATCCAGCCGCCTTTTGTATAATACCTGTAGAGTACCTTCCCTTCCAAGTACTGGAGTAATGCTTTTAACTATCCTCCCTTACAGGTACCTGGAGTCGTACTGGAGTGTGGCAGCGGACCGGGACAAGGTCGGAGGTCAGGTGACGTCTGTGGCCTTGACTGGTAATCCTCTCCATGTCTACTCTGTCATCAAGCGTCTCTCTCTCTACTGGCCAGCCCTCAACAACACTCTCCAAGCTTACCACACCCAAGGTCAGCCCTCAGCCACACCCTCCAAGCTTACCACACCCAAGGTCAGCCCTCAGCCACACCCTCCAAGCTTACCACTCCCAAGGTTAGCCCTCAGCCACACCCTCCAAGCTTTCATGGCTGGATGAGCTCTTGAGTTCATCCTCCCGCGCTCCCACGGGCGTCCGTCCTACTGACGTCACGCCCTGGGGCGCTGCCCCCATTGGTCATCCCTGTCACGTGACCTGCACTGACCAATCGCCAGGCGGCTGGCGCCGCTCCCACAATGCCTTGCGCTCTGGCTTCCTCTGGCGGGAACTTTCCTCCCCTGCGCCATATTTGCAATGGTAAAAGGCGTAAGCCACATTCAAACCCAAAAAATAAACTAATTTATCTCCACACGATAACTCTGGCTATCCTTCACATATACCAAATTGTTCTCTGGGCTTCAGAGAACGTACAGGTTATAAAGATATGACTCTTACTGGCGGCATAGAGGAGATATAGGACGGGAACCGTTACATACCCTTCCCCTTAAAATAAGAGTCACTCTTAAAATAAGAGTCATATGGGTTTAGTGCACACGGATATACAAGGTTACACGAGCTTAAATAAATGATTTAAGATTATTATTATTCTTGAAAACAACTTTTTCACTGTTCTTCAATGAACATTTGTAAATATCATGTAAATTAAATCAGATGTAAACATTGTTCTTAAGACTTGAGGACAACTGCAGAAGTTTAAGCCGTTTTATTGCAAGTCTAAAGTTTAATTATACAAAATAAGTCCTGATTTGTTCTGTGTTTGTAATATGAAGTCCTTCCCCCCCCCCCACACACACACCTCCTGCAGGAGGGGCGTGTGAGGACAGGAACTCTGAGTGCCACAACTGGGCCAGGCGAGGTCACTGTCTCCATACTCGACCCTACATGATCCTCAACTGTCGCGTCTCCTGTGGCACCTGTCCTTCACCTGGTGAGTTATGACCCCTCTCTGTCTGTCTCTGTCTCTGTCTGTCTCTGTCTGTCTCTGTCTCTCTCTGTCTCTGTCTCTCTCTGTCTCTGTCTCTCTCTGTCTCTGTCTCTCTCTGTCTCTGTCTCTCTCTGTCTCTGTCTCTCTTTGTCTCTGTCTCTGTCTCTCTCTCTGTCTCTCTCTCTGTCTCTCTCTCTGTCTCTCTCTCTCTCCATTGTTACCTCGTAAGGTGGTGATGGAGGTGGCGCTGTGAGTGCTTTGTGAGATAGTATGTATTTATAGTATAGTATTTAGTGAGGCACCACTATGAGGTGGTAAACCTGCCCTAATTCCCTTCCCTTTTGACGATCTGAGGCTGGTCTAGTGGTTAACGCTGCGGCCTGGCATCTGCAGGTCCATGGTTCGATTCTTTCTTATGGGGAAGTGTTCTCTTTGATTATATATATATATATATATATATATATATATATTACACATACATACACACACACATATATACATATATATAGTCTCGTGACGCTTGAAAATACACTGTTTTCCCACTAATGGAGCTAGTATACTAGGGAAATAGGCAATGCCGTGGGATTGAACTCGCGTCTCTGGTTGCCCCAGAGAAACACATGCATTGTGCCCAGTGTACCATGATGGGCTAAAGTTCTAGGAAGAGTTATACTGGGGGCTTGGAAATCTTCACATAGGACAGGTTCACGGCTCTTAATACACCTGTACACCAGTTGAGAGGTGGGACCTAAAAGCTAGAACTCAACCTCATCAAGCACAACTAGGTGAGTACATCTAGGTTACTACACGTTCCCTGCTAATGTCAACAGTACAGACGGGTCAAGAGGTTGAGAGGACGGGGTCAAAAGGTTGAGAGGACGGGGTCAAGAGGTTGAGAGGACGGGGTCAAGAGGTTGAGAGGACGGGGTCAAAAGGTTGAGAGGACGGGGTCAAGAGGTTGAGAGGACGGGGTCAAAAGGTTGAGAGGACGGGGTCAAAAGGTTGAGAGGACGGGGTCAAAAGGTTGAGAGGACGGGGTCACAAGGTTGAGAGGACGGGGTCAAAAGGTTGAGAGGACGGGGTCAAAAGGTTGAGAGGACGGGGTCAAAAGGTTGAGAGGACGGGGTCAAAAGGTTGAGAGGACGGGGTCAAAAGGTTGAGAGGACGGGGTCAAAAGGTTGAGAGGACGGGGTCAAAAGGTTGAGAGGACGGGGTCAAAAGGTTGAGAGGACGGGGTCACAAGGTTGAGAGGACGGGGTCACAAGGTTGAGAGGACGGGGTCACAAGGTTGAGAGGACGGGGTCACAAGGTTGAGAGGACGGGGTCAAAAGGTGGAGAGGACGGGTCAAGAGGTTGAATGGACGGGTCAATCACGAATGCACTTCTGAACAATACACAATGATCCCCGCTAATAGAGGTAATACGGTGACAGAACTCGGGCGGGTGGTGACGGAGGCGCTGCAGGCGGGGGCCAACACCGTGCTGCCCACGCTGGACGACCTCAAGGGCGCGGCCTTCGCCCTGGCGCGTCTTCAGAGCGTCTACCACATCCCCATCGGCCACTTCATGCAGGGGCGCCTGGGCGACACCTTCTCCAGTGTCAGTAAGTTACTCCGGCAGTCGAGCGGTTACGGTAACCGCCACTGAACGTTCAAAATTCAAATTCAAATAAGATTGAGGTATAAACACACACAAAGGGATGAGGTAGCTCAAGCTATTCTCACCCCGTTCAGTACGTGTTCATATATAATGTTACAGGAAAATTTGTATAATAACACATTGCCGAGGGAGGGATGGGTCTTGTAGCACAGTGGTCTACGTCCTCGGTACATAACCGAGAGGCCCGGGTTCAACCCTCGGGGCAAGACAGAAACGGTTGGGCACGTTTCCTCTTACCTATTGGCTCTGTACACCTAGGCAATTGCTTGAGGTTTCGCCGTGTAGAAAAGGGTGAGAGGACGGGGTCAAAAAGTTGAGAGGATCCCACAGATAGCAGTGATAGATCAGCTCCACCATTGGGTGCTACGGATATTATTCATTGTTCTCTCAGCAATTATGTAATTTTGCGATGTAATCAGGTGGCGCAATATGCGACACCCTCCTGACGCTCACCCTCCTGACGCTCACCCTCCTGACGCACACCCTCCTGACGCACACCCTCCTGACGCACACCCTCCTGACGCACACCCTCCTGACGCACACCCTCCTGACGCTCACCCTCCTGACGCTCACCCTCCTGACGCTCACCCTCCTGACGCTCACCCTCCTGACGCTCACCCTCCTGACGCTCACCCTCCTGACGCTCACCCTCCTGACGCTCACCCTCCTGACGCACACCCTCCTGACGCACACCCTCCTGACGCACACCCTCCTGACGCACACCCTCCTGACGCACACCCTCCTGACGCACACCCTCCTGACGCTCACCCTCCTGACGCACACCCTCCTGACGCACATCCTCCTGACGCTCACCCTCCTGACAGGGCTGACGGTGGAGGACTGCGTGAGAGTGGGGAACGCCACACGTCAGCAGGAACGCTTTTCAGACGCGTGGACCTGGTTCACCTACTGCCTGGCGTCCGCTGGCCCCCACCACCCCAGCATGCACGCACACATCACAGCCTTGCTGGACGAGGTGACCCGCCAGGTGAGCCTACGTACCTGGGCTGGGTTGGGATGCTGGATCCTGCAGCCTCTCCGAGACACAAACCAGGGTTTTACACAACTCCCCCATGCACTCGAGCTATGTCAATTGGCCGTTCTCTCTCTGCGCCCTTACTTCATTTGTTCATTTGATGCATCACGCTCTTGTGATTTCTGTGTGTAATGAAGTAAGGGCGAAGAGGGAGAACGGCCTATTGAGATATATACAAGAGTTGTTACATTCTTGTACAGCCACTGGTACGCGTAGCGTTTCGGGCAGGTCCTTAATCCTATGGTCCCTGGAATACGATCCCCTGCCGCGAAGAATCGTGTTTTCATCCAAGTACACATTTTACTGTTGCGTTAAACAGAGGCTACAGTTAAGGAATTGCGCCCAGTAAATCCTCCCCGGCCAGGATACGAACCCATGACATAGCGCTCGCGGAACGCCAGGCGAGTGTCTTACCACTACACCACGGAGACTGATATTGACATAGCTCAAGTGCATGGGGGGAGTTGTGTAAAACCCTGGGTTGGGTTGGGCTGTTCCTCTTTGGGCTTTTGGGCTGGGTTGGGCTTCAGGGCGCTTACAGCTGTAGTGCATCAATTCTTCCTCATTGCTAAGTTATTTTAAACAAACGTTGTTCAATGGTATATAAATGTGAAATAACATTGTTTAACACACAGCGCGCTGGTGGATCCCACAGAGTACTGGTGGATCCCACAGAGTACTGGTGGATCCCACAGAGCAGTGGTGGATCCCACAGAGTACTGATGGATCCCACAGAGTACTGGTGGATCCCACAGAGTACTGATGGATCCCACAGAGTACTGATGGATCCCACAGAGTACTGGTGGATCCCACAGAGTACTGATGGATCCCACAGAGTACTGGTGGATCCCACAGAGTACTGATGGATCCCACAGAGTACTGATGGATCCCACAGAGTACTGGTGGATCCCACAGAGTACTGGTGGATCCCACAGAGTACTGATGGATCCCACAGAGTACTGATGATCCCACAGAGTACTGATGGATCCCACAGAGTACTGATGGATCCCACAGAGTACTGATGGATCCCACAGAGTACTGATGGATCCCACAGAGTACTGATGGATCCCACAGAGTACTGATGGATCCCACAGAGTACTGATGGATCCCACAGAGCAGTGGTGGATCCCACAGAGTACTGATGGATCCCACAGAGTACTGATGGATCCCACAGAGTACTGATGGATCCCACAGAGTACTGATGGATCCCACAGAGTACTGATGGATCCCACAGAGTACTGATGGATCCCACAGAGTACTGATGGATCCCACAGAGTACTGATGGATCCCACAGAGTACTGATGGATCCCACAGAGTACTGATGGATCCCACAGAGTACTGATGGATCCCACAGAGTACTGATGGATCCCACAGAGTACTGATGGATCCCACAGAGTACTGATGGATCCCACAGAGTACTGATGGATCCCACAGAGTACTGATGGATCCCACAGAGTACTGATGGATCCCACAGAGTACTGATGGATCCCACAGAGTAGTGATGGATCCCACAGAGTAGTGATGGATCCCACAGAGTACTGATGGATCCCACAGAGTAGTGATGGATCCCACAGAGTAGTGATGGATCCCACAGAGTAGTGATGGATCCCACAGAGTAGTGATGGATCCCACAGAGTAGTGATGGATCCCACAGAGTAGTGATGGATCCCACAGAGTAGTGATGGATCCCACAGAGTACTGATGGATCCCACAGAGTACTGATGGATCCCACAGAGTAGTGATGGATCCCCCACAGAGTAGTGATGGATCCCACAGAGTACTGATGGATCCCACAGAGTAGTGATGGATCCCACAGAGTAGTGATGGATCCCACAGAGTAGTGATGGATCCCACAGAGTACTGATGGATCCCACAGAGTAGTGATGGATCCCACAGAGTAGTGATGGATCCCACAGAGTAGTGATGGATCCCACAGAGTACTGATGGATCCCACAGAGTAGTGATGGATCCCACAGAGTAGTGATGGATCCCACAGAGTAGATGGATCCCACAGAGTAGTGATGGATCCCACAGAGTAGTGATGGATCCCACAGAGTAGTGATGGATCCCACAGAGTAGTGATGGATCCCACAGAGTAGTGATGGATCCCACAGAGTACTGATGGATCCCACAGAGTAGTGATGGATCCCACAGAGTAGTGATGGATCCCACAGAGTAGTGATGGATCCCACAGAGTAGTGATGGATCCCACAGAGTAGTGATGGATCCCACAGAGTAGTGATGGATCCCACAGAGTAGTGATGGATCCCACAGAGTAGTGATGGATCCCACAGAGTAGTGATGGATCCCACAGAGTAGTGATGGATCCCACAGAGTACTGATGGATCCCACAGAGTACTGATGGATCCCACAGAGTAGTGATGGATCCCACAGAGTAGTGATGGATCCCACAGAGCAGTGATAGATCCCACAGAGCAGTGATGGATCCCCAGAGCACTGATAGATCCCACAGAGCAGTGATAGATCCCCCAGAGCAGTGATAGATCTTCCAGAGCAGTGATAGATCCCACAGAGCAGTGATAGATCCCACAGAGCAGTGATAGATCCCACAGAGCAGTGATAGATCCCACAGAGTAGTGATGGATCCCACAGAGTAGTGATGGATCCCACAGAGTACTGATGGATCCCACAGAGTACTGATGGATCCCACAGAGTACTGATGGATCCCACAGAGTACTGATGGATCCCACAGAGTACTGATGGATCCCACAGAGTACTGATGGATCCCACAGAGTACTGATGGATCCCACAGAGTACTGATGGATCCCACAGAGTACTGATGGATCCCACAGAGTACTGATGGATCCCACAGAGTACTGATGGATCCCACAGAGTACTGATGGATCCCACAGAGTACTGATGGATCCCACAGAGTACTGATGGATCCCACAGAGTACTGATGGATCCCACAGAGTAGTGATGGATCCCACAGAGTAGTGATGGATCCCACAGAGCAGTGATAGATCCCACAGAGCAGTGATAGATCCCACAGAGCAGTGATAGATCCCACAGAGCAGTGATAGATCCCCCAGAGCAGTGATAGATCCCACAGAGTAGTGATAGATCCCCCAGAGCAGTGATAGATCCCCCAGAGCAGTGATAGATCCCCCAGAGCAGTGATAGATCCACAGAGCAGTGATAGATCCCACAGAGCAGTGATAGATCCCACAGAGCAGTGATAGATCCCACAGAGCAGTGATAGATCCCACAGAGCAGTGATAGATCCCACAGAGCAGTGATAGATCCCACAGAGCAGTAATAGATCCCCCAGGGCAGTAATAGATCCCCCAGAGCAGTAATAAATCCCCCAGAGCAGTGATAGATCCCCCAGAGCAGTAATAGATCCCCCAGAGCAGTGATAGATCCCACAGAACAGTGATAGATCCCACAGAACAGTGATAGATCCCCCAGAGCAGTAATAGATCCCCCAGAGCAGTGATAGATCCCACAGAACAGTGATAGATCCCACAGAACAGTGATAGATCCCACAGAACAGTGATAGATCCCACAGAACAGTGATAGATCCCACAGAACAGTGATAGATCCCACAGAACAGTGATAGATCCCACAGAACAGTGATAGATCCCACAGAACAGTGATAGATCCCACAGAACAGTGATAGATCCCACAGAGAGCACTGACGGAGACTACAGGACACTGACAGATACCAGAGAGGACAGAGTGATCCCCCAGAGTACCAAGATAACCTAGGTATCCACAGCTATACACCATTACTCTGATGATAAGATTAACCCACAAGGTGCACCTGACGGATGAGTATTGTTGTGTTGGACAGCATGATGCAGAGTGGAAGGAGAACCACGAGAGGTTCTTCCCGCTCCCCCTGGCCCTCTCGCCCCACCAGGTGCCCTGGGACACCACCTACGGCCGGGTGTGTCGTGGCCAGCGTCCCCAGGTGAGTGTATATGTTGTTCTCTCTCCCTCTTGCGGACGGGAGACATCTCCCGTCACGCAGGGTGCAGTCGCACCTCCACAGATCTCCAGTATCATCTATTGATACTGGTAATGGCTCAAAAGAGCCACCACTTACGGGCTATTCATGCCGGTGTCACCTCTTGAGTGCCTTATTCTTTATCATCATTATCCCTCTTGCGGGCTATTCATGCCCGTGCCACCTTTTGGGTGGCTTAATCTTCATCAATCAATCCCTCTCCCTCACCTTTTTGCCGAGCTACTTGGACTAGACGGAAGAGCAACTGTGTTCCTTCATGCAGGTGTTCAATCCCCGACCGTCCAAGTGGTTGGGCACCATTCCTTCCCTCCGTCCTATTCCAGATCCTCATCCTACTTCCACGAGCTATGTTGTCGTAATGACTTTTGCTTTTTCCAGCCTTCTATTACAGGGGAGAGAGTTATTATTAAATATAAATATTTGGGGTTAAATTAATAGTTATTGTTACATGTATGTTCGGCCTGACGGCTGAGTGGATAGCGCTCTGGGTTCGTAGTCCTAAGGGTCAAGTGATTGATCCCCGGCGGAGGCGGAAACAAATGACCAGTTTCTTTAACCCTAATGCACCTGTTCACCTAGCAGTAAACAAGTACCTGGGAGTTAGACAGCTGCTACGGGCTGCTTCCTGGTGTGTGTGAGAATATTAAGATTAAGGATTTGCCTGAAACGCTACGCGTGTTAGTGGCTGTACAAGAATGTAAGAACTCGTGTATATATAAATAAATTATTTCACCAATTCCCCCAACCCCTAATAAATATTCTTATTGACAGAAGTTACTCTACTAACAAATATCAATAACCAATAAAGCTCACTGAAAACCGAATCAAAACACCAGTACAACATTCCCTCTAGATCCTCTCCAAGAGCACGCTACATGAACTAGAATATGCTCCTTGAGTAGCAAGTTACATAGTAATACATGAAGTAATAATTAGAAACGATGGCACTGATGAAAAAAAAAAGGATTTGGCGATAATTAAAAGGTGCAGGTCAAAGCGCCGCACGTCTCCCGTCCAAGACATAGCACCAACTGAATCTCTCCCTGGCTCCCGGCAGCGTTTACAAAAGAAACTTGTCGTACTGGAACCGTCCAGTACTTCCAGTCAACTTTGCCAAATAAATCTTAAATATCACACAACTTTATAATCCTACTGGCTATGTACCCTAAATTAACTTATTGACTACAAAGTCTAAAACATAATCAGCAGTAAACATAACCAGCAGTTTACATATTTACAGATAATCGTGGCACCGGCAGCGCCGTCACCACTAAATTTAAATTTTGACCCGAGGAACGAGTTTATCTAGACCTTCCCAACGGACAAAACCGTTTCTCACACTTTATTCCTTTCGCTAAACCGGCTTGTTATTGAATACATAGACCACCCTGGTCGCAACACCCGAGGCCTGTAAGCAGGCTAAGAGCTGTCCCTTCCCATAGGTCGTAAGTCTTAACCCAGCAAATAAATCATTGGAACATGACTGCCAATACGTTTAACTCCGAGGTACCCGGTTACTGCCGGGTGAATAGCGGCAAACTGTTCCCAGGATTTGTTCCCAGTCAATCCTCCCCGGGTTTCATAACGGGGCGAATGTGTATCAGTACATCATGTTACTTCAGTCTTGTGTAAATAATTGTTCACATGGTCAACAAATTTGTGAGCTTCAATTTTGTCCACCGAGTAATGGACATCTTGTGTATAATGTGTAGTATAGTACAGGAGCCGGTGGCTGAGCGGACAGAACACTGGACGCGTGATCCTGTGGTCCCGGGTTCGATTCCGGGCGCCGGCAAGAAACAATGGGCAGAGTTTCTTCCACCCTGATGCCCGTTACCTAGCAGTAAATAGATACCTGGGAGTTAGTCAGCTGTCACGGGCTGCTTCCTGGGGGTGGAGGCCTGATTGAGGTGTAGCGAGTAGATTATCCCAATAATATACTCGCTCCAAATGCATTGTTAATATTCCTGTCAACATTTGGAGATGAGTGAGGTGAGGTGTTGCCCGAGCAACCCGGTGAGATGTTGCCCGAACATATAAGCAGCAGAATAGCAAACATTAACTAGTCTACTTTCAAGTGTGGTCTAGAGCAGACACTTGCGAGATACTGTACCGCCGCTCAGTGCGCTCAACTCACACCAAAGTATCACCTGTGTACTGTCACTATACTTTACATAACAATGTGTTGTGTTTACTGTCACCATACTTTACATAACAATAGAACTGTTACATTGGTGACTCAGTGAGTGAAAAGAACACCTAGTCGCAAACTAGATCTTCGTCATGGATTTATCTACCAGGTTTCCAGCATACAACGCAGATGAACCAGAATTTTGGTTCATGCAGATGGAGGCTACTTTCGACCTTCACGAAATTTCGACTGAGAAAGCCCGATATGCCTGTACCCTGCCAACACTTCCCTCGGAGGCTATGCACACTGCCTCTGCTGTCATCACCGCACCATCACCAGACGCCAGGACATACACCGCATTGAAGGCCGCTCTTCTACAGGCAGCAATGAAACGCCGCATTCAACAAAGGGACCAACTCCTCACTGACAAAAGATTAGCAGACAAAACACCAGCCCAGCTTCTGCGGCATATTCAGTATGTGATGCATACTGCAACTGGCCCAGCCCCCAGCGAGATTGTGAGATCACTGTGGATACAACTCTGTCCAAAACACATTCAACAGGCCCTATTCAATATGGCTGACGACACCCCATTAGCCCAGCTGGCTACACTGGCAGACCGGCTTCATACGACGTCTGATAACACTATGCTGTCCCATCCCAGTGTAACACAGCAGACTACAGACACCCAACAACTCGACGTCCTCCAGAACCGGCGTTTCTTCCACCCATGGAGGACATACCATGCAAATCCAGTATCAGTCTAGGCGACAGCGAGAACATCGGGGAGAGCTTTGTTCTTACCACCAGAGGTTTGGACACCAAGCCCGCAACTGTAGGGCTCCTTGTTCCTGGTCGGGAAACTACTTCGGCGGGGACTGTTAATGGTCAGTGACTCCGCCATTTGAAACACTACACTGCTCTACATATCTGACATCATAACCAAACGCCGTTTCCTCGTTGACAGAGGTGCAGCAGCTAGTGTGTTGCATCCCCCACTGGTCAAACCAACCCGTACTCCTGGTTTCGACTTACGTGCCACCAATGGTACGTCCGTCCGTACATATGGGACCTGCGCCCTGGTTCTCGAGTTCGCCTCTCTGGGTCGCTTTACGTGGACTTTCCTCATAGCGGATGTGGAACAACCTATTCTTGGATGGGATTTCCTGCAACACCATCGACTTATTGTGGATCCCGCAGGTGCAGTACTTCGAGCCTCTCCTAGTACCTCTACACAGGTTAACAGCGTCACCCCAGTCGCATCTATGGAACTTCAAGCACTCCTGGATGAATTCAAAGATGTGACCCAACCCGCGACCAGAAGTGCAACATACGATTACGCATCACATTACTACAACGGGAGCACCTACCTTCGCCAGACCACGCCGCCTGGCACCGGAACGATTGGCGGTAGCACGTGCTGAATTCAACAAGCTACAGGAGGCAGGAATAATCCGCCCTTCGAACAGTCCATGGGCTTCACCTCTCCATATGGTCCCGAAAACAGCCCCAGGGGAATGGCGCCCTTGCGGGGACTACAGGGCTCTCAACGTTCGTACTCTGCCGGATCGCTACCCAATACCAAACATCCAGGATTTCTCACAGGGAATGAGCAACGCAACCATTTTTTCGAAAATTGACCTTGTGCGGGCATTTCACCAGATCCCTGTGGAACCGGCAGACATTCCGAAAACAGCGATCACAACACCTTTTGGACTGTTTGAATTCGTCCGGATGCCTTTTGGTCTACGGAATGCAGCCCAGACATTCCAACGCTTCATCGACCAAGTAGTTAAGGACCTGCCTTTTTGCTACGCCTACATTGACGATCTGTTGGTGGCCAGTACATCACCGACAGAACATCTGCTACACCTCAGGCTCCTTTTCACCCATCTGCGCAACTTCGGCTTGCAGCTCAACTCCAAGAAGTGTATTTTCCATGTTCCAGAGCTGGATTTCTTGGGACACCGTGTGTCAGCAGCAGGGGTCCAACCACTAGAGAAGAAAATCGAGGAAATCAAGGAATTCCCGCACCCATCCACTCCAAAGAAGTTGCAAGAATTTCTTGGCGTGGTGAATTTTTATCATCGATTCATCCCACATTGTTTGGACATCTTACGACACTTATACGACCTCTTACGTGGTCGGAAACTCACATCCCGTCTTCCGTTGGAGTGGACTCCCCAGGCAGAGACAGCATTCACCGACATAAAACACAAGCTGGCGGAATTCACCTTACTCGCACACCCAGTGTCTGACGCTCCCACCAATCTCTCTACCGACGCTTCAAACACAGCAATTGGTGCTGTACTACAACAGCTCATTGAAGGAGAATGGCGCCCAATTGCATTCTTTTCAGCACGCCTGTCACCCACTGAAGAGAAGTACAGCACTTTTGATAGGGAACTGCTCGCCATCTACTCAGCCATACAACATTTCCGGCACTTCCTCGAGGGGCGGAACTTCCACATCCTCACAGACTACAAGCCTCTCACTTATGCACTGGCGGCCATGGGTGATGCTCACTCTCCTCGAGTAGCCAACCACCTGGGATTTATCTCCCAATTTACCTCGGATATCCGTCATGTCAAAGGAACTAATAATGTCATAGCCGATGCACTGTCTCGACCCACCATAAACCACGTCGTGACAAACCCAGCTCAGGTGGACTATTGTGTAATCAGTAAGGCCCAACGGGAAGACCCTGATCTGCAGCGATTACGAACATCTGACACAGCTCTCCGGTTCATCGAGATTCCCATGGAAGGTGGCGGTAGTATAATCTGTGACACCTCACGGACGGGAGCGCTTAGGCCCTACATTCCTGCCCAGTTTCGCTGGAGAACGTTCTCAGTATTTCACTCCCTAGCACACCCAGGAGTACGTGCTTCTCAGAAACTACTAACGGAGCGTGTCGTATGGCCAGGAATCAATGCCGATGTTCGACGATGGACTCGCTCATGTCTCCAGTGCCAGCGAGCGAAAACACTTAGACACACAAAGAGCCCTCTTCAACAGTTCCCGCTACCTTCTGACCGTTTCGAGGTGGTGCATGTTGACATCGTTGGACCGTTACCGTCGGCAAGAGGATATTCTTATCTACTCACCTACATCGATCGATTCTCCAGATGGCCGGAAGCAATCCCACTAATCAACATCTCAGCTGAGTCAGTGGTCCAGGCTTTCATCTCTGGATGGGTCGCCCGTTTTGGCAGCCCCTCTGTCATCATCACCGACCAAGAACGACAGTTCGAATCATATCTATGGAAGGAGCTTATGGAATTCCTCGGCACCACACACAACCGAACCACAGCATACCACCCTGAGTCGAACGGAATGGTAGAACGCTTTCATAGACAACTAAAAGCCGCCCTAAGAGCTCAAGCACGCCCTGATGATTGGATCGACAACCTTCCATTAGTCTTGTTTGGCATCCGTTCGGCCACGAAAGAGGGCAGTGGATTCTTGGCAGCAGACTTAGTATACTGATCTAGCCTGCGGCTTTTGGGCGAATTCTTAACCCCGACGCCACTCATCACACCCCCAGACCCCACTTTTGTCCAGAAATTACGGGCGGCCATGACAAGCATTTGGCCTACACCACCACGCCAACCGACAACTCATGCTACATATGTGCCTCATGAGCTCCACACAACTGAACACGTGTTTGTAAGAATCGACGCTGTTCGACGCCCTCTACAATCACCTTACGAAGGACCATTTAAAGTGGTTTCTCGAACACCGAAGATCTTCACCATTGAACGCCGAGGACAGCGGGTAAACATCTCCATCGATCGCCTTAAACCAGTACACTGTGACGCTGCCCCAGACATCCCTCCAGAGACACATCCGCCGACTACGCCGTTCACTTTTCGACCACAGTTACCAGCAGCACCGCCACCTACGACAACGGACGATCCTGTACGACCTTCCACCCTACATCCCCAGTTACCAGCTGCACCATCACCTGATCCTACGACGACGGACGATCCAGTGCGACCTCCTACCCTAAGACCCCAGTCAGATGACATCAGCAAAGAGGAGGAAGTTAACTTTGAGGGTTATACAACGCGAGCAGGGCGTACAATTCACCGACCAGCTAGGTTTCTTGATCAAGTATTTTTCCTTTCATCCCCTGGGATGGGGACTTCTGTAGCGAGTAGATTATCCCAATAATATACTCGCTCCAAATGCATTGTTAATATTCCTGTCAACATTTGGAGATGAGTGAGGTGAGGTGTTGCCCGAGCAACCCGGTGAGATGTTGCCCGAGCATATAAGCAGCAGAATAGCAAATATTAACTAGTCTACTTTCAAGTGTGGTCTAGAGCAGACACTTGCGAGATACTGTACCGACGCTCAACTCACACCAAAGTATCACCTGTGTACTTCTGTATATTCGACCAAATATATATATATTATCTTAGTGTTTGTGTTTATTGTCACCATACTTTAAGTAACAATAGAACCGTTACAAAGGACCGGGCCGTGGGGACACTAAGCCCTAAAATCATCTCAAGATAACCTCAAGATAGTAATTTTTAATGATAATGAAGGGACAAAAATGAAGTAGCAAATTGCGGATATTCAAAATATTTAAGGAATGTTATGTCTGGGCAGGCTGAGGACGGCCGCCTTCAGTGTCACGTCTCCAGCCGTGGGGCGCCCTACCTCCTCCTGCAGCCTGTCCGCTACCAGCAGGTCCACCACCACCCGGATATCTTCCTCTTCTACGAGGTCCTCAGTGACCATGAAATCGCCGTCATCAAAGAACGTGCATCAACCTTGGTACAGTCTTAATTAATAGCTTAATACTGAAGTTGACCAGACCACACACTGGAAGGTGAAGGGACGACAGCGTTTCGGTCCGTCCTGGACCATTCTCAAGTCGATTATGGTCCTGGAATGGTCCAGGACGGACCGAAACGTTGTCGTCCCTTCACCTTCTAGTCTGTGGTCTGGTCAACATTCTTCAGCCACGTTATTGTGACTCATCGCCTGCTTAATACTGAACTTCATTTTAAGTTTAAGTAACTATACTCAACGGGTCAGGACTGGGCGAAGCAACTCTGGCTTCTGTTGTGAAGGATATATTGAGTTCATGAGGGAATATAAAATTCTGTTGCATGCCCTTAATTGCACAAGTGACTGCAATGTCAATGCTGCAACATATCCCCACCAGTTGGCAGGAGAGACGAAATATAGCAATCAGTTTCCATTTCTAAGACAATTTAAGTGAATTATTGGAATTATTTCTTTAAATTACTCTTAATTTTCACAAACAGGTTCTACAGGGACTTGTTTTTGGAACTCTGGATGTGAGAGAGGTTACACAGATGTAGGATCAATCCGGATGATGTTAGATCAACTTAACACATGCAAGTTCAATCCTAACTGAAACTTCTTCGGTTCCTGTATTACATTTGAACTCCCTAATCTAGCTTAACTTAGCCAAGCCTAGCCTAACCACGCTCTGACGCACTAAAACGTGAAGCCGAGAATATCTTTATATATCCACAGAAGCCTTTATGAGGGGTTCGAACCTATGCGCAGTGTTCCCAGACTCACTCTGGTCAACTAGTCAACCCTCAGCGCACAAGTTTAAACCCTCATCAAGGCTCCTGTGGATTTGTTATTTGATATATCGCATCAATGTGATTCCTCTGTGTATAACCTTTATATGTCATAATTGTTTGACCAAGTCTTGCCCTGCCCGAGTCAGCTGACCAGATCGACAGTGTCGAGCAGGACTAGTCCCTACTCTGAGGAGCGGGTGTCCCACACAGCCTGGCTCCCCAACCACACCCATCCCGCGCTGCTCAATGTGGCTCGAAGGATCTCCTACATCACTGGTCTTCATGTGCACGAAGGCGCAGCTGAGGAAAGTGCCGGAGAACATTTACAAGTAAGAGTTGACTGTTTAGTTTTTGTGGTGGGATCTAGATGCACCCACCAAGATGTGTTTGTAGGGTCGAGGTGCTTCAACTCCTCAGTCCCTGAGGAGTTGAAGTGTGCTTCAACTCCTCAGTCCCTGAGGAGTTGAAGTGTGCTTCAACTCCTCAGAGTGAAGTGTGCACTCAGAAGTGTGCTTTCTGGGAGCAAGTAACGGCCAGTAAGCTATAATATGTAATATAATTATTTTTGTTTTTCTTGGTTTTAGTGTTTCTTTTTAATTTGTATATTGTAAAATATTAAGCACTATATCCACAAAATTCTTAAAAAATTCTAACAATCATATTTTGCCTGTAATTAGACAATTATAAAGTTTCCAGAGAGAGAGAGAGAGAGAGAGAGAGAGAGAGAGAGAGAGAGAGAGAGAGAGACAGAGAGAGAGACAGAGAGAGAGACAGAGAGAGAGAGAGAGAGAGAGAGAGAGAGAGAGAGAGAGAGAGAGAGAGAGAGAGAGAGAGAGAGAGAGAGAGAGAGAGAGAGAGAGAGAGAGACAGAGAGAGAGAGAGAGAGAGAGAGAGAGAGAGAGAGAGAGAGAGAGAGAGAGAGAGAGAGAGAGAGAGAGAGAGAGAGAGAGAGAGAGAGAGAGAGAGAGAGAGAGAGAGAGAGAGAGAGAGAGAGAGAGAGAGAGAGAGAGAGAGAGAGAGAGAGAGAGAGAGAGAGAGAGAGAGAGAGAGAGAGAGAGAGAGAGAGAGAGAGAGAGAGAGAGAGAGAGAGAGAGAGAGAGAGAGAGAGAGAGAGAGAGAGAGAGAGAGAGAGAGAGAGAGAGAGAGAGAGAGAGAGAGAGAGAGAGACAGAGACAGAGAGCGAGCGAGTGAGAGAAAACAAACTGTTACGGGTTTCTTCTTTCTCTAAACTGTCACAATATTTCACCAGGTTGTGAACTACGGCATCGGCGGCCATTACAACATGCATCAGGATACTTTATTCAAACACTTTCCTGAAGGTCGCGTGAGTACAGTATACCACCATTTAAGGCCAGATGAGTATATTCTAGAGTGAAGTTCAGGTGAGTACTGTGCTGTAGTCCTGAAGGTCATGCGAGTACAGTGATGTAGCTGACTGCATTGTGATAGGTCTTAGGTGAGTACTTGGTAGTACTCATGATACTCAGGTGAGTACATTTCAATAGTCATTAAGTCAAATGAATATATTGGTGAAGGTCTGAAGATGAGTACATTGGTAGTTACGAAGATCACCCCACTAACGAGCCTCGTGTCTCATCCCACTAACGAGCCTCGTCTCTCCCACAGTGGAACGAGTCTATGTCATACACATTGGAGAGTCCGCCCGGAGACCGCGTGGCCACCTGGGTCTTCTACGTGAGTCCCGCCCTTATCCACCTTCTATTCGTGTGGATAAAGCACTGAAGCACCTTCTGTTCAGGTGTTTCAGTATTTATCCACCTTCTGTTTAGGTGCTTCAGTGCTTTATCCACCTTCTGTTCATGTGCTTCAACGTTCTTATCCACCTGAAGCTGGATAAGGTGGATTATCTTATCCACCTGAAGCTGGATAAGGTGGATTATCTTATCCACCTGAAGCTGGATAAGGTGGATTATCTTATCCACCTGAAGCTGGATAAGGTGGATTATCTTATCCACCGGACAGAACAAGTTAGTAGAGGATGAACACAAGATGTAAATCAGAACAATAACAAAACACAATAATATATCCCAACAACAACAGTTGTGTTGATCTGTTGCAGTTGACGACTGTGGAGTCAGGTGGGAGGACAGGGTTCGAGAGGCTCGGGGCGTCGGTTCCCGCCATCAAGGGCGCCGCCGCCTTCTGGTACAACCTGAAGAAGAACGGTGATGGCGACCCTCTCACCACCCACGGCGGCTGTCCCGTCATCCTCGGACACAAGTGGAGTGAGTCTATATGCTTCCTTAGCCACTTGGGCTGGACGGTAGAGTGAGTCTACGCTTCCTTAGCCACTTGTGCTGGACGGTAGAGCGAGTCTACGCTTCCTTAGCCACTTGGGCTGGACGGTAGAGCGAGTCTACGCTTCCTTAGCCACTTGTGCTGGACGGTAGAGCGAGTCTACGCTTCCTTAGCCACTTGGGCTGGACGGTAGAGCGAGTCTACGCTTCCTTAGCCACTTGTGCTGGACGGTAGAGCGAGTCTACGCTTCCTTAGCCACTTGTGCTGGACGGTAGAGCGAGTCTACGCTTCCTTAGCCACTTGTGCTGGACGGTAGAGTGAGTCTACGCTTCCTTAGCCACTTGGGCTGGATGGTAGAGCGAGTCTATACGCTTCCTTAGCCACTTGGGCTGGATGGTAGAACGAACGGGTCGCTTCATGCAAGTCGGCGTTCAATCCCCCCGACCGTCCATAAGTGGTTGGCCACCATTCCTTCCCCCCGTCCCATCCCAAATCCTTATCCTGACCCCTTCCAAGGGCTATATCGTCATAATGGCTTGGTGCTTTGCTATGATTATTCGTTCCTTCTCACGGAATGCGCTCTAAATTCTAACACTATTGTTCTAATTCTAACCCACAAATTAGACAAATACATAAAAAAAATTACATAGACAGTGACAGACAGTAGATGGATGGATGGAGGGCTGGGATAGTTGAATGTGTAGGTAGATGGATAGACTGATACATGGATTGATGGATAAACGGATAGTTGTGTAGATTGATGGACGGATGTATACAAAGGTGGATGTATAGACTGATGGAAGGAGAGATGGATGGATGGATAGCAGGATGGATGGATAGATGATAAAATGAATGGATATACATAGATTGTTGGACAGATGAATATATGGGATACATGAATAAATGGGTAGATGAACATTTGGATAAATAAATGGATAGATGAATAGGTAGATGAACTGATATATAAATACACAGTTAGATGTATGGATGGAAGGACAGGCAGATGAACAGATGGGACACAGACCCAGGAGAGGTCCAGTATAAAGGCCCAAACTTGGAGACCAGATGCCTAAGGCTAGTCTCACCCAAATTGGCAGAGCGAGTGGTCTGGGGTACGGGATGAACATAGGCCAGTTGGGGTCGCCATAATTCAAGAGAGAACATCGAGCCAGGGCCGCAATCAGACCCCCACGACACTGGACCCTCCTCAGGCTGATCAGACCAGCGCAAAACTGGACCCTCCTCAGGCTGATCAGAAATTTCCTTAAGAATAGGCAAGTTACCCCCAGCTTCAAGGCAAAAGAGGCCGCGGCCTTCACCCCAACAGCTGGAGTCCCCCAAGGATCATGCTTGAGCCCGGTTCTCTTCAACATCTTTGTAAACGACCTACCCCAACCAGAGTATAGGGACACCATTATCGTGCAATTTGCGGACGACGTAACACACGTAATAACATCTAACCCAAGCAGCCAAGCGGCCAAGCATGCAACTGTAACCCGTAAGGCAAACGTAGAACTAGCAAGGACTGCTAACTGGGAAAGGAAATGGAGGATCACCACTAACCCAGAAAAGATCCAATTAAGCACTGTCGGCTGTATGGCCTTCTCAATTGAAAATGAGGGGGGAATAAGAATCAGGGGTGAACCCATAGCCATCTCAAACTCCAACACAGTGCTCGGGTACAACTTCAACAGGCTACTCAACTCCTCCCAGTACGTATCCCAGAAGACAGGGATGGCCCGGGGCTCACTGGAGAGGCTCTTCCGTTTCAACCAAGCCCCATCCCACATCAAGCTCCACCTTTACAGAATGATCGTAAGGCCTAGCTTGGAATACCCTTACGTTCCCCTCAACCTCACCAACAAATCCAACATGCTGAAGATCCAACGAGTACAAAACAAAGCACTTCGCTTTGCAGAGGGCCTGACTCTGAGGGACAGGGTAAGAACTGACCAAATCCATGAGACGCTCAACATGAAGCCAATGAACATTAGGCTTAGCTACCTGGCCAGAAGACAGCTGTACCGCATGAAGAACATGTATGTCCCAGACCCCGAAGATCCCTTCGTAGCAGAAAACACCACCAGCGACTACGAGATCCACGAACCACCACACACAACCAGAAGAATCACTCTCCAACAAAAAGTGATCAGACACATCCATGATGAGGCCTTCCCAAGCCCTCAGATACTAAGCGGTCTGCCAGACGACCCAGATGAGTGGCCCATCCCGGACCCAATCTACACCAAATGAAGAATAAAGAAAAAAAAAGAAAAAAAAATATATATATAATAAAAAAAAAAAAATAAAAACTCCTACAAAAAAAAATATAAAACCAAAAAACCATTTGTGGTGGCGTCAGAAGTGTAACTCCCCTGATGTTGCTAAGATTAGCCTCCTTCAGCCCACTCCATCGGCTCTAGTGCTTTAGGACACCAACAAGGTCACAAACACTAGCCCCCCCAGCCAATGTACTGACAACCCAACATAACACATACGCAAACAAACAACACATACAAAAATGTCAACCCATGGTGGACAGGCCACCCAACTTTCAAACCTCCTCTCTCTCTCTACACCCGCATCCTCTTCCTGAATTTCATCTCCCCATCCCTCTACCTCCCCCATCCTTTCCAATCCCTATGGACATCAAAGCAAGACCCCCGCGACCGTTCCTTTCACTGTCCGCCAGCTACACACACTTTACCATTTTCCAAACACACAAATTCTCGTATAAAAATATTCAAAATATTCAAAAATAAAAAAATATAAAAATATAAAAAAATAAAAAAATAAATTCATATAAAAATATTCAAAATATTCAAAAATATTAGTTAATTCTCTGGAGAATTAACTAAAATGTTCAGTGTTTTAATTTTTAGTTGTACGTCGCTCATAGCATTAGATACCGGAATGAGCAGTGTATTACCGGGATTATTAGTTGCTAAATCTCATTAACACAGTTGCTAACAAGTGGATTCGGGAACACGCCAACTTCCTCCGTCGACCGTGTAGTGAGGACCCTGAGGAATGAGGCAGAGACCGAGCAGTGAGGACCCTGAGGAATGAGGCAGAGACCGAGCAGTGAGGACCCTGAGGAATGAGGCAGAGACCAAGGAGTGAGGACCCTGAGGAATGAGGCAGAGACCAAGGAGTGAGGACCCTGAGGAATGAGGCAGAGACCAAGCAGTGAGGACCCTGAGGAATGAGGCAGAGACCAAGCAGTGAGGACCCTGAGGAATGAGGCAGAGACCGAGCAGTGAGGACCCTGAGGAATGAGGCAGAGACCGAGAAGTGAGGACCCTGAGGAATGAGGCACATTAACCCTGTCCTAAAGGATCGAGAGGTAATAAAAACAGAAGACCCACTCTGAGAATAATTTAGTCAGAAGTGTATGTCTATTTAGTCATAGTAATATTTTATGAGGTCATGTAATAATGAGAGCATGAGTCAATCACATATTGACTGTACCTTCAAGGAATATATACGACATACTCCTGAGTTAGTGTATATAATGTGTTCCATCTTGCCCATGACAAAATGAGTGAGCTAACTTATCAAAATATAATCCAAGTTGACCGTACAATATTGCCACTGTAGTCTGTAGGGAGAGGAAAGGGTGGGCAGACTCCTCTCCCTGTGATAGCAGCCACATAGCAAGGAATGACGATTTCAATGCTACCTCAGCATACTGTATACATTCACTCCAAAAAAGAAATCTACCACTTACGGGTTATTCATGCCCATGCCACCTCTTGGGTGGCTTAATCTTCATCAATCATACTGTCTCCTCACTTGAGAGTGAACCATGTAGGTTCGAAACATTGTGTAAATTATATTTAGTATAATACATTCTACAGTTACTTTGTATTCTTTTAGTTAACCTTGAACAAATATGACATTTGGAGAAAACCTCTTCCAATTTTCTTTAATTTTGCCCCGAGGGGCGAGTTTATTGGGCAGCGTCACTCATCTTTTGAGTGGACACACTGCCATAGAGACAGTATTGGGCAGCGTCACTCATCCTGTGAGTGGACACACCACCATAGTGACAGTATTGGGCAGCGCCACTCATCCTGTGAGTGGACACACCACCATAGTGACAGTATTGGGCAGCGCCACTCATCCTGTGAGTGGACACACCGCCATAGCAACATGTACAACACTCCCCAATAGGAAGAAAACCCGCTGGGTTGTTTCCGATTACCTCTTCCAATTGAACCAAGATGCAAGAGCACTAGTCAGAGGGAGAGAAGCCCTAAACAAGAAAAATGTGCGAGTATGGTCTCTCAAAATCCTCCCACAACTGCCTTGAATGGTTCATCGCAGTGCACAGTGCACCGATCTGGTGCACAGGACTCTCTCTCTGTTGACCCTGGATGGAAAACTGTCATGTTGGGTGTCATTGGGATGCCCACATAACCAGGAATTCTGGTATAATACGGAGGCCACCGTATGCCCGAGGGAAAATTAGATAAAGAGGGATTAATTATGCCTGCCATACAGTCAGGGAGTACGCAGCTGAAGGTGCCAAGCGTGGGGGAGGGGATGCCAGCGAGGCGAGAGAGAGAAGCTCTGGTGCCAGATTCACGAAGCAGTTACGCAAATACTTACGAACCTGTCCATCTTTTCTCAATCTTTGGCGGCTTTGTTCACAATTATTAAACAGTTAATGAGCTCCGAAGCACCAGGAGGCTGTTTATAACAGTTGATTGGGAAGTTTTCATGCTTGTAAACTGTTTAATAAATGTAACCAAAGCCGTCAAAGATTGAGGAAAGGTGTACAGGTTCGTAAGTACTTGCGTAACTGCTTCGTGAATCTGGCCCCTGACCTCTGGCGTCAACCTCAATCCTGCGCGATGAAGAATAACAACAGTGACGTAGTCGTAACGTGGTCATGACGTCACTCTTCTACCGATCGTGTAACAATTAATATCATTGGTTCCGGCACCTTTGCTGCAACCCCATTGGTCACTTGTAGACCTGCTGGTGGTGTTGACCAGACCACACACTGTAAGGTGAAGGGACGACGACGTTTCGGTCCGTCCTGGACCATTCTCAAGTCGATTGTGGTCCAGGACGGACCGAAACGTCGTCGTCCCTTCACCTTCTAGTGTGTGGTCTGGTCAACATACTTCAGCCGCGTTATTGTGACTCATCGCCTGCTGGTGTTAGTGCCCCGAGGAAGCTTGCAATCCTATGCAAGATCATTCTCCGGCATGACTCCTCATGCCGGAGAATTCTCCTCTTGAGGAAATCCGTGCATGGTGGTCGTGTCGTTCTGTCTATCGGCCGATAGACAGAACACCGTCCATTCCTCACCGTCAAGTTAAACTCAGCGTTCTTCTCGATATACCAACGCTCGCCTGGAATCGCGACTGTGAATATATTGTTTAGAAGCCTTCTAGAGTGACATCACAGGAGCTAAACAGACTATCAGGTAACTCCTGGTGACAAGTAGAGATCGTCTGTGAGTGACCAAGAGTGAGTGCCTAAGGCAGTGCCGCCGCCTAAGTAATCTGTGTGTGACTTTACCACAGTGTACCTGTATGGTGCCATATACCTGCCGCCGCCACTCAGACCAGTGTGGGTGGTCAGCAACAACTCGCTCCACCCTCACTGTACTACGTGACGTCACCACCTTACTCACCGCCAGTGCCATCAAGGGTGCGTGTCAGACATACAGCGCGCCCTCCTGCGCGTACCCTCCGTGTCAAGTACGGTGTGTTGGGAAAGCCTGTCATCAATGTCTCAGGTCATAGCGAGCGGAAACAGCTGTCAGGCCACCTACGAGTTCTTGCATAAATGTGCACGAGTGAGTGAATGGGAGAGGTAGCCTACCTGTAAGGACAAGATCTTGTTACTGTGTTATTGTGTCTGTGTTGACCTGAGTGGTCAACCACAGTTCTCACCTTCTCGTACCTGACACAGGTATAGGTGAGTACACCTGACGGTGTACTCACCTAATTGTGCTTGCGGGGGTTGAGCTCTGGCTCTTTGGTCCCGCCTCTCAACTGTCCATCAACTGGTGTACAGGTTCCTGAGCCTATTGGGCTCTATCATATCTACACTTGAAACTGTGTATGGAGTCAGCCTCCACCACATTACTTCCTAATGCATTCCACTTGTCAACTACTCTGACACTGAATGCGTGTTTATCTGTGTTATCTGTGTGGTATCACGGCATTACACTCGTCTGTGAATGTGAGCTACACATACACCACACATTTAGTTATTGTGTGACTTATTGTGCATGTTATTGCCTGTCCCATTGACAGTGTAGTTGTTGATTTATTGCACATCATCATTACCGAGTATCCGGTTGGAACTCTTGTGATCCCTTTGCATACCGGCAGTTAGGTTGCCGTGTTAATGACTGGCTGTCAACTGTGTTAAGTTAGATGTTTCGCCACGAGTGGATCAGAATCGATTAGTCAGACGTCAAGAGTCTCGCTAATGCCTTTCTGAAGCCATAGCCTTTCTGAAGCCAATCTAAAGTAAATCAAGCACCCTGTGTATTAGTGGTTAAGTTAGTAAATAAACTACTGTTAAGCTTTATGCGGTGTTTCCGTTGAACCACTTCTGAATACTGCCAAGTATTACTTAAGCCTTCAACTCCAGGAGCCAGATTCACGAAGCAGTTACGCAAGCACTTACGAACCTGTACATCTTTTCTCAATTTTTCGCAGCTTTGTTTACATTTATTAAACAGTTAATGAGCTCCGAAGCACCAGGAGGCTGTTTATAACAATAACAACAGTTGATTGGCAAGTTTTCATACTTGTAAACTGTTTAATAAATGTAACCAAAGCCGTCAAAGATTGAGGAAAGATGTACACGTTCGTAAGTACTTGCGTAACTGCTTCGTGAATCTGGCCCCAGGGTCGTAAGTACTTGCGTAACTGCTTCGTGAATCTAGATCCTGGTGTCTTCAACACCGAATTGCCTATTATTCACTAAACTATAAATGTGATGAGGACCCTGGGAGTCCCTTAAAGTGTCTCAAACATTGAGGAGATTCCCACGACCAACGTGGACCAGGTGAGGCTAATCTGAGGAGAGACCCTCAAGGACTCTAACTCGACCTTGCTCCCAAGCCCTGTACGGCTGCTCTCGTATTGTCTCTGCTGGATTCCGACAGCTTCGTGAAGCGTGTGCCACATGTACATTGGTGATGTACGCATGGCACACGGGAAAGCAAAATAAAAAACAACAAAAAACTACAGGGAATATGCAGCCATATTCAATTAAACATATATATTATATACTAGCAGTTCCCGGCCACGCGTTGCTGTGGCTCAACAACGCATATGGATTGCTGAGCCACAGCAACCTTCCCTGTCCCCCCAGTGCTCCCCACCATTCCCCCTCTCGTCCCTCCCCACCATTCCCCACTCTCCTGTCCCTTTGTCCTTCCCACCATTTTCCATTCCCCCATCCCTTCGTCCCCACCATCCCCGCCATTCCCCCATACCCTCGTCCTCCCCGCCATTCCCCCCTCCCTTGTCCCCCAGTCCTCCCCACCATTCCCCACTCCCTCGTCCGATGCCTTCCCAAATGGTCTGATGTTTCCATCAGAAAATTGGGAACGTCAAGTGATCTGATGTTCCCATCACTGAAATATATGAAAAACAGTAAAAAAAATGAAATGATAATATGAAAAAATAAAAAAAATAAACTATACTCACGAAATGAACGGTATGGTAAACAACACAGCTCAATTCCAACACTGTCACACAAAATAATTCAATAAAAAATAAAATAAATCGAAATCTATGAAAATAAGATTTACAGTGCAATCAGAAACATTGAAATGGAATTCGTGACATATTTAGTACAGCGAGCATGTTGCTATTATGTGCAACAGATGGCGCTGTTTTTCAAAAACGCATGTTTTTACCTGTCACAGGGGTGGCATCTATATAGTAGATATATAAAAAGACACGCCTATTCGAATGGAACGTTGTGTCAAAATTTCAAAGCACTCTGAAGAACTTTCGGAGATTAGCAAACGAACATTTCAAATTTTTATTTTTATATATTTATATAATATGAGTGTGTGTACTCACCTATTTGTGCCTGCAGAATCGAGCATTGGCTCTTGGATCCCGCCTTTCTAGCCCCCTGTTGTTCACAGCAATGACTCCGGTCCTCTTTCCCTATCATACGGGTGTGTATGTGGGGATGCTATACACACTGTTCATTTATAGACATCCGTGTATGCTGAAATAGACGTGAAGAAGTGCTCATTTACTCACAGCTCCCTGACAAGAGAGAGTAGGCTCAGCTTAGCTGCCAATACTCACACACACATCGTGTCAGCAAGGCGGACAGCCCGCCCGGTGTCGGCAAGGCGGACAGCCCGCCCGGTGTCAGCAAGGCGGACAGCCCGCCCGGTGTCAGCAAGGCGGACAGCCCGCCCGGTGTCAGCAAGGCGGACAGCCCGCCTGGTGTCAGCAAGGCGGACAGCCCGCCCGGTGTCAGCAAGGCGGACAGCCCGCCTGGTGTCAGCAAGGCGGACAGCCCGCCTGGTGTCAGCAAGGCGGACAGCCCGCCCGGTGTCAGCAAGGCGGACAGCCCGCCCGGTGTCAGCAAGGCGACAGCCCGCCCGGTGTCAGCAAGGCGGACAGCCCGCCTGGTGTCAGCAAGGCGGACAGCCCGCCCGGTGTCAGCAAGGCGGACAGCCCGCCCGGTGTCGGCAAGGCGGACAGCCCGCCCGGTGTCGGCAAGGCGGACAGCCCGCCCGGTGTCAGCAAGGCGGACAGCCGGAGGGGGGAAGAGGACTGCCAAAGCGTTTTTTAATTCAAAAAATGGTGTTTGGCAGGCGGTTTAATGAACATTTTGGGCATCGTCGGTGAAGACGG